TCATTCTTCCCCACAATGCGCTCATTGCTTTAAACCAGAGTTATCCTCTATTTGTCTGTCTCATGTGTTTAATTTAGTCCTCTGCTGCAACCAACGCAGTAGCTTCAAGCACAGCATTTGCTTACCATGTGGCATTTTTACAAAAAGGGCAAATGCGTATTTCTCAAATGGGTTCTACGATCACAAACAGACTAACAACCAGAACTTCATCTTGACAGATGACTTGGACTGCCCATGCTAGCTCGATCTTACCAGATCTCAGAAGCTAAGCAAGGTCAGCCCTGGTTACTATTTGGATGGGTGACTGCCAAGGAAGCCCACGGTTGCTATGCAGAGGCAGACAATGGCAAACCACCTCTGTTGTTCTCATGCCTTGGAAACTCCATGAAGAAGAGAAGAAGGGCCTGGATTTATACCCCACCCTTCATCACCCAAGGGAGTCTCAGAGCGGCTTACAATCTCCTTTCCCTTCCCCTCCCCACAACAGACACCCTGTGAGGTAGGTGGGGCTGAGAGAGCTCTTGACAGAAACTGCTCTTTTTCAAGGACAGCTGTGGCAGGACTAGGGCTTGCCCAAGGTCATCCAGCAGCTGCAAGTGGAGGAGTGGGGAATCAAACCCGGTTCTCCCAGATTAGAGTCTGCGGACTTAACCACTACACCAAACTGGCTCTCGCCATAAGAGGCTGCAATTTGACGGCACTTCACACACACATACACAATTGGTCTCAAAGCAAGGAAACCCTACTGTGCCAAAATTCAGAGAAGCAACTAGAAGACCAAGCGACGGTTTTCTCAAAGTCACCCCTGCTCGTACCGCCACCCTTCACAAGGCTCACAAGAACTAACCCACAACAAAGCCAAATGTTCTGCAAAATTCATTTGCCTCTTCCCAGGGCCAATTTGATTCAAAGTGAAAATGAAAAGCGGTGTCACTGGGCAGGTACCAAAATACAACCCCCCCCCCCCGTTCCAGCAACCTTGTTACATAATCTGAATTTTAGTAACAAACCTCATTCTCTGCCATGTTCTCTCTCAGCAGCATCTGTCACTGCTATGAATGGTTGATCATAAGTACCTCTGTAGTCATCTCGGTACTATTAAGCAGATGGCAGCGTTAAATCCAAATGATGTAGTACATCTCCCCGGCGGACTTTGTTTCCATACTCTTACCATTATCCCACAATTCCTCTGTGATAAATCTTATGTATTCTGGAGAACATTAAATAGGGAGTCGACATCGACAACTGATTTATTAGCGGCAGTTTGCATTTGCCCCCATTATCGCCTCGGCAAACGCTCGCGCAGCAAAGCGGCGGAAGCCCTCCAGGCCCACGGGCCCTTGGCCTAATTTTCTGTAATGCAATGTTTTCAAACAGATTTCGTTCTTCGGCACACAATTTGTCTTCGCAGAAATGTGCCTAAACGGCAGTTTGCAGATCTTAAGGAATAAAGCCCTTCTTTAAAACCCTGTCCTCCCATTAGGCTCTAATCAGGGGGATTCTGTGATGAAATTGCTCTAGTATTTACGTTCTGCGCCATTCAAAAGCCCTGGATTCTTCCGACTCTAAAGCCGAGTAAGATTACTGTGCAGTGCAGAGCTCAATGGGTATTATAATGTAATTCAGCAGTGCTCCATCCTGGGAGTTAAGTGAACAAAGATGGTATAAAGGCATTTATGTAACACGTGCATTAATGCAGGCACAAAAACCAAGGAGGCTACCGAGTGCGGGAGGAGTTGAACGTACATTTATTTCATCTAGACCCTATTTTTCTTCCCAGTGGGACCCCATTCTCCATTTTCTCCTCACAACAACCCTGTGAGATAGGATAGGCTGAGAATGTGACTGGCCTGAGGGCACCCAGCAAGCTTCTTCTGTGGCAGAATGGGGATTCGAACCTGGGGTCTCTCAGATCTTAGTCTGACACTCTGATTACTACACCATGCTGCTTTCTGAACTGCAGTTCGGGTTAGTGTCAGACAGAACTGTTTGCACAGGAAAAACTCCATCAACTCCTAACCATGTAAATAAGTTTTCAGGAAAGGAATAAGGTTGGTGAATGTCTCGTACAAAAACCTGCTGATCTCCTACAGAACCATCCAGCCTTTTGCTTGCATTAACTCTGTGTTAAAATCAGACTCGTACCACCTAGACCAGAGGTGTCAAACTCATTTGTTACGAGGACCAGATCTGACATCAATGTCACTTTGTTGGGCTGGGCCATGTGTGCCATCTCTCCTTATATATAATTGTATTTTTGTGGTGGCACTTTGTGAACATTCCACACGCTCCCAAATCAGTAGGTTCCCTGATCTGTCACTCAGAAGGTGTCCCTATCCACTGGCTGCGTTGCAAGAGTCCCACCTCCAACATACTAAAAAGTTTGCTGTTCCTCTCCCCTTCCATAGCCAGTCGGAACACAGAGGTCGTTTGCATATGCGGCCTGATTGGCCTTTGCCTCTAACATTCTAAACAGTTTGCTGTTGCTGTTGGGAGTCACTGAATGTGTCCTGAGGTAAAATACATATCCCAATCTTCCCTTAAACCGTCACTGGAGTTGCCAATCTCCCTGTGGGGCCTGGAGTCCTCCCAGAAATCACCATGTTCACCCGGCCACAACTCATAATTTCCCCTACAGAAAATTTCCCAGTTATTACAAATGATCTCCAGATGACCAAGATCAGTTCTCCTGGAGACAATGGCTACTTTGGGCAGTGGACTCTATGGCATTATACCCTGCTGAAGTCCCTCCGCACCCCAAACCCTGCCCTCCCCAGACTCTACCCCTCAAATCTACAGGTATTTCCCAACCCAGAGTTAGCAACCATGCAATTGGCTAAGGAGCCACTTTTCATACCCTTGGAACCTAGAAAACATGGCATAGGAGGAGGTGCTTTTCTACCTTAGCTGTCACTGCATAACCCCCCCTCAAAAACATCAGGGGTGGAGGGAACCATACCTGTTACCATGAGGCTGTCCTCCCATACTACCCACTTGGGGCAGCAAAATGACTTGAGACAGCCCTGCCTTATAGCTAAGCAGAAGGAAAGAAACATGGCTTGCCTCTCTCTATTTTCCCCTTCCCTCTGCCACCCCACCAACCACAGCCGGGACACTCACGTGGAGCTTCCTTCTAGAGCTTGTTGTATTTCCTCCCACAATGAGCGTTACTCCTAGTAAAATGTAATGCCAGCTACCAGAGATATAAACTTTATAAACATAGGCAAACCCAATTAACAGTATTATTTTTTAACTCAAAATACAAAACAAAAATTTTTTATTTCTAGCAGTGAAACCAATTGATTTACTGGGGAACCCACAAAAGCCCCAATAAATGTATTTAATCATATGTAAGACTAGTTTTCCCCCCAAAGAATATCATAAAAGGCAGAGTACCTTACATTTCCATACACACCAGTTGCTTGCAAGCTGGGTAAGAGCCCTAGACGGGCCGGTTCCGGCACCCGGGCCTTATGTTTAACACCCCTGAGCTAAACTATCACACAGTTTGTCCCAAATCACCAAAGGACAACTTAGAAAAGTGCCCAGTAACGTACACCCCAATATTATTGTTCTCAGCATTCACTGCAGAAAACTGAACTGGCTTAGCATCAGGTTGTCTTATTAAGAATGTGTCAGCTTGGTGTGGCTGACTTCCACTGAGTGTTACCCTTCAGTGTTAAGCAATTACCATAATCTTTCTCGCCTATGGCTTGATTTGAAGACGGATGCTGGCAAAGCACAGGAACTTGCCCATGGGGCTTTGCACAGGTAGAGGCCCAGCTGAAACGAGACAGCGCAAAAGGGCAAAGCCCCTCCCCCCCAATGTCTGCTTCTGCTGCACAATCATCGCATTCCGATCAGCCAGCCCAAGGGAGCCAAACGACTAAAGCCAGTATAACTCACAAAAAGATCTCAATGTACATCCTAACTGGGCTGTCAGAAGTAATTCTTTTAACAATTCACCGATTCTGCTAGTTATGTGGCTTAGTGCCAATGAGAACGACCCACGAAGGCAAAGTCATGGACATGGAAATCATGTTGGCTCCGCGGTCCACTCTCATATAACAGATGAGGACCCCTACAGCTGAAATGGCATGTCTTATCAAAATATAAGTCACTTAAAAAACAAAACAAAACACCACCCTTCCATGTTCCATGAGCTGCACAAGAAAGTGCATGACAAAGTTCTGAAAATATTGCCAATTAAAAATCATAGACGCTTTGGGATTTAATATTTACCTTCTCTCTCTCTCTCTTAGTATAACTCACAAAAAGATCTCAATGTAGATCCTAACTGGACTGTCAGAAGTAATTCTTTTAAGTCACTTAAAAAACAAAACAAAACACCACCCTTCCATGTTCCATGAGCTGCACAAGAAAGTGCATGACAAAGTTCTGAAAATATTGCCAATTAAAAATCATAGACGCTTTGGGATTTAATATTTACCTTCTCTCTCTCTCTCTCTCTCTCACACACACACACACAATGCAAGGTTCATGATGCTGCAAATAAGCTTTCACATTTACTTATTTAGTGCACTTTAAACCGACAAAGTCACTTTTTTGTGTTGTTGAAATGAAGTCACAAATGGTTTAACATTTATACACTCAGTTATCTACCTGCATATTCTCACCCTTGAATGTGAAACTGCAATCTGTTCACATGATCTAGAAGTCAATCAAGGGCTGAAATTTTGCCAAGAGCAAGTGGTAGATAGGCTGGGGGGGGGGGGCTGGGCTGGACTTACAAACCAGGATAAGTGATGCCATTAGAATGGCAGAGTTATCTGAAGCATGCAAAGATGGGAACAAAAATTGCTACAAGTGAATGTGACTTCCAAAGTGACCAAGACATGACGCTCTTACACACACATGGATCCTCTGCACGTTGACAAAGCCAGAGGCGTCAAGAGTGCAACTGCCTAGCCAAACCTCTGCCCTTGACAATAAGTTCTGAATCTACAATCATCCTAAATGCATTAAGAACTCTCCCTTACCTTTGTGCTGAGGTACTATAGCTGTTATCATAGGAATCATAACTCTGCTCGTCATATGAAGTGCCGTATCCATCGTCATAATCCTGGAGGGGGAAAGGGCAGCGTTAACAAGACGGCAACCCCAGAACACTTGAGACACTTTTTTTGGGGGGGGGGGGGAAGCAGAAGAATTTTTTGCAGACTGGAAAGACTTTAAAGACTATTTGGAAAAATACTGGGATGTAAAGGACAATTTACTTTCCTTTGAGAATTATTAAAAATTAAAGGATAGTAGAAAATAGATAAATGTATAAGAATAACAGTTGAAGGATAAGTTACCTGTGGATGTGAATAAGGAGAAATGGAGGTATGAAGAAAATTTAAGAATTGGGCCGGAGGTTGGAGCACTGTGGGAAGCCGAGAAGGGGGGGGGGAAGGGAGGAGGGAAGGATATATGATTGCATAAGTTTTGATATATGTTTGAACTTTTTTTTATTACATCCTAATAAATTGTTTTTTTGGGGGGTGGGGGGGAAGGCCCGAGCCCAAAATTAACATCGTGCCCACCCCAGAAAGTTAGACCTCGTGTTTCTAGAACAGCCAACCTCCGGGCCACACAATAAACAGACGGGTTTTGGACCCAATTTGTGATTTGGCCTGGGAGTTCCCAGTTTAAAGGACAAGTGTTCAAACCTCCCCCAATATGTTCAAGACTTCAGCTGAGCGCCTAAAGTAGCTGTTTCGAACCAGCAATGAAAGGCAAAAAGAGGTACTTTTCTCCCTTTCTCACAATACAAGAACTTGTGGGCACTCCATGAAATTACTGAGTGGTCAGGTTAGAACGGATAAAAGGAAGTCCTTCTTCACCCAAAGAGTGATTCACTGCCACAGGAGGTGGTGGCAGCTACAAGCATGGACAGCTTCAAGAGGGAATTAGAGAAGCACAAGAAGCGGGACCTGCGATACTTGCGCGCGCGGGGGGGAGTATTCCGGGAGGCTCCTGGGTGGCTCGCCTGCTGAAGCAGCAGGAGCTCTGTGCAGAGGAGGACGCGGCAGCGGCTGCAGGTGAGCAAAGCAGGCGGTCCGCTGGGCTAGCCAGGCTTCCCCGCACCCACCCAACAACAACAGCAATGGCTGGGTCTAGCCACCAGCCCTTGAAGGTTTTTCCCTCCCGCCACCGCGAGCAGCAACAGCGGCGAGCCCTGTGTGGCTCCTAGCTGCCGGGCCGCCAGGCTTCCCCCTCCCCCGCCAGCAGCAACAGCGGCAAGCCCCGTGCGGCTTCCAGCCACCCACCCGCCCAGGCTTCTTTCCCCCCACAGCAGCAACGGTGGCGAGCCCTGCATGGCTCCCAGCTGCCTGCCCACCAAGGCTCCCCTGACTCCCTCGCAGCTGCTAGCAGCAAGCTCCACCAAAGTTCCAAACGGCAAGTCCATTCTCCACGCATGCACAAGAATGCACTTTCAGTTTTGGGGGGATTTAAATACCCCACTATTCTTTTTTAAACTTCTCAGATTTCTCTGCACACTTGGGGACTGCCCCAAGTGTACAGGAACATCTGTTTACCCTCCAGGTGCCCCTGATGTGCAGATTTAGACATCCACACGGAGGGGGCAATTTGGCTATTAGATATATAGATATGGAGCAGAAGTTCATCAGTGGCTATTAGCCACAAGGTAGAGATAGGAACTCTCAGTCGGGGGCAAGTGATGCGGGAACAGTGGGAGGGCTTCTAGTGTCCTGGCCCCACTGCTGGACTTCCTGATGGCACCTGGTACTTTTGGTCACTGTGTGACAGAGTATTGGACTAGATAGGCCGTTGGCCTGATCCAACATTGACTTCTCTTATGTTCTTATGTTCAGCGGGCACCAGAGGAAATACTGGTGGGTACCAGGGTGCTCACAGGAACCACGCTGGGGGAACCCGTCTTAGCTTCTCGATTTCTCCCATTCATTTCAACCTATAGGTTTTGGACTTCTGGTTTTAAATGAAACGTACGTGGTTTTGATTCTCTTATAGGTGACCCGTCCTGCATGGTTTATGTCAGCAATCCCCGACAGAGCAGTGCGTCATTCAAATGAAACACCACCTTAAGAAATATGTATAGGTGGGAGAGGAGATACCCTCTACACCACCCACCTCTGAATGAAAAGTTAAAATTCTTGCAAAATGATAGATTTCCCCCACACTTGGAGAAACAAAAATACCAAAGTGCCCCTGACAGCAGCAGCGCCAGCCCAAGGGTTTCTTGGTGCCTGAGGCAGACTTATGACTTTGGCACCTCTATTCAATATACAGAAAAATGCAAAGTCCAACATGAACTTTTACCTTTATTTACTGACTGGCCGTTCAAAGGAAACAGAATCTGTATTTTTATATTTTTATTTGCTTTTCATTAATATTTCATAAGGAACAACAAACAAATATATATTTTTAATTAAAGAAACTCACTAACTTTTGTGCCCTTTAAATCCTGGCATCCTAGATGACCTCTTATTGATAGTACTCATTACAATTTCTTTGAAAGTTCCAAAATGGCTTGCAGGCTTAGCAAAGCTGGGGATTCCTGGCTTCGGCTTTGCCCAAACCAAAATCTACTTGGCAATAAATAAATAAATACAATAACTCAGAGAATGACTTAATGGTTTAGTGTGGATTACAGCACCAAAAGGGAAGGCAAGACACACATCTCATATTCTCCAACAACCCACGGATTCCCTTTAAATAGCACTCATCAAGTGGAGCTCAAGAATCCTTTAAAGTGTGCCCTTAATTAGGTTTGACATCTTCATGTTAATGTTTTCTGTGTTTGAGGATTCAAGTGCGGCACATTTATTCTAATTTGGCCAGTTCTGCATATAAATGGATATATTCTGAATTTTAAGTAAATCAGAGATTTGAACTGAAGCAAAATTAGGCCTACCACTGGTTCTTGAAATGCTAAACCTCTTGCTGTCCTGGAGAGTTCTGTCTGGTCATGTTATATATTTTTGTATTATGTACGCAGGGAAAGGAGAAAGAATTATATGCACATGGTAGACTCGTCCCTTTGATGCCTTAGAAGAAATTTTTACTGAAAGCGGTTTGCCATATTACATAAGAAGAGTCTGCTAAAGCCCATCTTACGCCAGTGAAACTGGAATCCTATTTTTAAAAGCTCCAACATTCCTCCGCTAAGCTGAAAACATTCTTGCTGAGAGTTACAGCTTGAGAGATTCGGGTGCTTTTCAAAAAACAGGTTTTCCAGTTTCAGCATAACAACCTCCAGAAAATCCCCTGGATGCGGGCCACTTCACATGCTGTGGTTTTAAGTCAAATGCTTAAAAATACAGTGTGTGAAGGTAGCAAAACAGGAGTTTGGAACTGTGGGTATGCCAAGGACATGCCACAAGAAGTGGCTCCCTATTAAGGCTACACTTTGTGGGAAACTTACACGTTGCTGCTGTGATAACGTGCGGAAATGACCCTGACAACAGCTGCTGGCGGAGATAAACCATAGTTTTTACATTAAGCTTCTCATTCCGTAAGTGACCTTCACACAATGTTTAGCCCTTGATAAAGGGCTAAATGTTAAACTACCTTTGAAGTGAGAGCTCAAATCAGACTAAGACCTTCAATCCCACTGAAAGGAGGTCAACTCCTTTTGCCATTACTGGTATCTGGCAAGATCCTTGTGTCTGTTCTAGACACGTGTGGCGGTGGGAAAATGCCCGTCAAGTCACAGCCAATTTAGGGCGATTCCATACAGTTTTCAAGGCAAGAGGTGAACAGAAGTGGTTTGCCATTGCCTGCCTCCGCGTAGTATCCCTGGACTTTCTTGGTGGTCTCCCATACAAGTAGTAACTAGGGCCAACCGTGCTTAGCTTCCGAGACCTGGCTAGCCAGGTGAGGGAGTTTTATACACACTCAAAAGTAATTTTCAATGGAATGTGGTAGTTAACCAGGTCCCACATTCAGCATTTGGAGTGTAAAAGCAGGCCAAGTAGATACATTTTAAGTATCAGAAGACCCCTTGGTGCATTTCATTAGCCGTCTGGGACCAGCACATCTTTGGGACCGTCTCCTCTGGTATGTCCCTGGGAGAGCATTACGCTCTGCTGAGAGCAATCTGCTGGTGATCCCAGGCCCTAATGATATCCGGCTGTCCTTGACCAGAGCCAGGGCTTTCTTGGCCCTGGCGCCAATTTGGTGGAACTCTCTGGCAAATTCCATCAGGGCCCTAATGCAGTTCCGCAGGGACTGTAAGGCAGAGATGTTCCGCCAGGCTTTTGGTTGAGGACAGTGACGGTTTCCATCGTAGCTGGCACCCTTCTCTTGACTCCTACCTTGCCCGCTTCAGCCTCCTCCTTAACCTGCCCATGAGATGGAAGAACAGCTCAGGGCAGGTTTTTAAGTTGAACTGCAGACGACATCTGGAGACTAAGAACATAAGAAACGCCAATGTTGGATCAGGCCAAAGGCCCATCCAGTCCAACACTCTGTGTCACACAGTGGCCAGAAATACCAGTGCAATCAGGAGGTCCACCAGTGGGGCCAGGACATTAGAAGCCCTCCCACTGTTGACTGAGTAATTAAGATCAATTGACTGTCAATTTAATCTTATTTTGTATGTTTTTAACTTCTTGTGAATCGCCCAGAGCCCTCTGTACTCAGGGATGGGGTAATTCAGAAATATTATTATTATATTATTATTATGTGCCAACAACTTTTATATTGCTTAATAAATTGGTCAATATCTAGCTAAATATAGTTTTAACTTTACCACTAGTTCTTTATGATCTTGTGTTAACGGATATGTTACCCATTGCTTACCGATGAATTCCCATGAGACTTTAGGAGCGCCTCTTTCCTCCTCATCCTGCCTTCTACCACTTAATCCCGGCCTTCAGTAATAGGTTTTCCTTGTGAAGCTAAGCTTAGACTTGCTATATACGAGTTCAATAGCACCTTGGAGACTAACAATATTTTGGGGGTATGAGCTTTTGAGAGCTAAGGCTTCCTTCGTCAGTAGATTTGACTGTTGAAAGTTTAGATCCTGAAAATCTTCCCAGTCTCTAAGGTGCTACTTGACTCAAACAGAGCTGTTCTACTGCAGACCAACCGGGG